CTTCTATCCTTCTAGAATTGAACCCAATTTTGGATTTTTTAAATAGCCTCATTAACCAGTGTCGCTACTTTTAATAATCTATTCATTTTTACCTCATTTCCTGGAAAAGGTAAAATAAGAAATTAAAAAAGGTCTTAAACCAATTAGAGATAAAAGTCTGGATAGTACCTCTTCAAATTCATAACTTAAAGGTGTATCAGTGAATTACAACAGCAACTTGAACTTCAGCATAATCTTTCATGTAACAAAACACTCGTAAAACAAAACATCAGGGACAAAGGGGAGAGGGGAACTATCTAGATTCAATATAAGAAAAACAAAGGAAATGAGAATCTAACAAGGTTCAAGATAGACAAATGCTGAAGGCTCAATTCTGTTTAAAGAAATGAAGAAATTATTGATGAGTCATGGTCTTTCCAAATACTCTTGATTCAAGAACTTTCTTCTTAAGTAAGAAAGCTATCTTTTCTTACTGTCACTTTTTCTTTAAGTAAAACATTCATCCTCAGAACACGGTCATCACTAGAAAATTCAGCATTTGTTCCCTGTCTTTAACTGTCCTGGAGAAAGTGATTGAGTTACTTTTTGGTATCACTACCTTCATACTGTGAAGGTGCACTCACAGTGCTTTTAGTAGGGAGATCCATTGTTCTGATCCGGCAACATTGAAGGAACAGTGATATATTTTCAAGTTAGGACGGTGTGTGACTTGAAGGTGAAATTTGAGGTAGCAGTGTTTCACACGTTTGCTGCCTTTGTTCTGCTGGGTGGTAAAAGATAAAAGCACAGAAAATAGGAGCAGTAGAATATTCAACCCTTCAATATGATGACAACTGATCATCCAATTCAGTTCTGTATCACTTTGTTCTTTTTTTTCAAGTTTGATAATCTGCAAGAGAGTTGACATCCCATGTGAAACTTTTGAGAAGATGTAAATCAAAGAGGAGATACAGATCTGACTGACTAGTTTCAGTCAATTTCATGACATATTAATTTCAGATCATACTGGGGTCTTGCTTAATGATGGTTTTATGAACTTGGCTCAACCTGGTCAGGTGATCACTGCGGCCACTTTAAGTCAGTATTCTTTTTAAAATCAATTTACTCGATGTAAGATCTCTGTTATTAAAAGCAGATGATGGAAATCAAAAATTGGAGTCCATTTTTACCACCATCATAACAACCGACTAGCATTCTATTGCCTTTTTGAATTTTTAAAGGAGCACGTTGACTCTCATTTGTCAGGACAACATCGATCTTACATCTACTTTGAACTATTGCTAGATTCATCAACTCTCAAATGCAGACAAAAGCTTACCAATAGTTTACAAGAATTAAAAAAAACTTATGACAGGAAACCACACACAGTGCATCAGATATCATCATCCTCATGCACTTGATTACAACACAACACTTTGAGCTGACTGTACATGTTGAAAACGCCAATGAATTAGGGAAATCATGCTCAAGCCACCAGGAATAATTTACGCGTGAAAGGATTGCAATCGATATTTGCAAGATCCACAAGAACTTGTTGCATGTGAAATGGTCGTCGTCTGGCTGTTGCATGTGTAATGCTGCAAAATTATTTGCTTAACAACTGCTACTTACATCTCCTGAGGTTCTATGCTTAGGGTCTTGCCAATGCCACCCAAAGATATGGTCAAGTTCCATATATATGCTACGGTCACCCAGTTCTAACTTTACACCATTGCCCACAACCCTCCACTGCCTCTCGTGTTACCATTCTGCTTGTCCAACAATTCAGAAAATTGAAAAAACTGTGGATGCTGGAAATCTGAAACAAAAACAGAAATTGCTGGAAAATCTCAGCAGGTCTGGCAGCATCTGTGGAGAGAAATCAGAGTGAATGCTTCATGTCCAGTGACTCTTTTTTAGAACTGATTGTAGCTAGGAAAAGGGTGTTTTTTTTAATGCAGAAGATCGGGGGATGAGTAAATGATAGATGGAGATAGAGCCCAAAGAGATAGAAACACAGTTAGACAGACAAAGGAGTGGATAAACAGCAGGCCTAGGAGAATGAATAATTGCTAATGGGGCAATGAGTTCTGTGGTAGCAACCCATGTTGATGACAAGGCCTGGTGTGTTGGGGATGATGGAAAGAATGGGGAAAGATGCTCAAGCCCAAAAACTGTTAAGTTCGATATTAAGTCTAGAAAGCTGCAGGGACTCAAGTGGAAAATGAGGTGCTGTTCTTCCAGCTTGCGCTGAGTTTTGCTGAAGCACTGCAGCAAGCCTGAGACAGGGACGTTGGCCGAGGAACAAGGTGGTGCATTCAAGTGGCCATCAAATGGAAGCTCAGGGGATTTTTTGCAGACAGAACGTAGGTGTTCTGCAAAGCAGTCACCCAGTCTGCCGCTTTGTATCCTCACTGTAGAGGAGACGACATTGTGAGTAGCAAATAGATTAGATTGAATGAAGTGCAGATAAAGCGTTGCTTCACCCAGAACGTATGTTTGAGGTTTTGGATAGTGAGGAGGGAGGAAGTAAATGGGCAGGTGTTACACATTCTGCAATTGGAGTGTAAGGTGCTGTGGGGCTGTGGGGAATGAGTTGGAAGTGAAGGAGAAGTGGACCGGGCTGTCCCAGAGGGAACGGTCCATGCGGAAGGCTGACAAAGGGGAGGGGAATGTGTCTCGTGGTGGTATCCTGCTGGAGGTGGCAGAATTGGCAGCTAATGATCCTCTAGATGTCAATGCTGGTGGGATCATAGGTGAGGACAAGGGAGTGTCACTCTTGTCAGAGGGAGGAAAGGGGCTAAAGGCCGAAGTGCGGGAGATGGGTCAGACCCAGCTGAGGACTCTCCCAACTACTGTGCTAAGGAATCCTTGGTTGAGGAAGAAGGTGGACATTTCAGAGGCCCGCTTGTCAAAATTGGCATCATCAGAACAGATGCGACAGAGACGCAGGAACTGGGAATGAACTAGAGTCTTTACAGGAAGTGGGGTGTGAAGATGTAAAGTCAAAGTAAATGTGGGAGTCAGTGGGTTTGTAGTGGATAACAGTGGCCAGCCTATCCCTAGAAATGGACATAGAGATGGGGAAATGAAGCAGAGACTGGGTGACTGCATTGCAGAACACCTACGTTCTGTCTACAAAAGAGCTCCCAAGCTTCCCGTTGCTTGCCACTTCAACACACCACCGTGTTCACTGGTTAATATCTCTGTCTCAGGCATGCTGTTCTCAGTGAAGCTCAGTGCAAACTGGAAGAACAGCACCTCATTTTCCACTTGGCAACCCTATAGCCTTCTGGACTTAATATCAAATTCAACAATTTTAGGATTTCAGCCCCTTTCCCCATGCTTCCCCCATTCCCACACACCAAACCTTGTCATCACATGGGCTACTACCACACACAACCCATGGTCAGCTAGTAATTAATCCCCATTAGCAGCTTTTCATTTTCCTAGGCCTGGTCTTTATCCATTCCTTAGACTGTACAATTGTTCTTCTCTCTTTTGGGCACTATGCTCAACCATCGTTTGCTCCTCACCCCCTCTCCCCACTCTATCTTCTGCATTAAAAAAATGCTTTTCATACCTACCATCAGTTCTGAAGAAGGGTTATTGGATTCAAAACGCTAACTCTGATTTCTCGCCACAGACGCTGCCAGATCTGCTGAGATTTTCCAGCAATCTCTGTTTTTGTCCAACAATTCATCTTGCATGATCTCAAGATAAACATTGAAAAACAATTTTCATTGGCCCCCGTCATTAATGCCACACTGTCACCACTCACTTCCTCTAAGAAGCTTCTTAAAATTCACTTCTTTGGCCAAGGTTTTAGTCCACTGTACTGATATTGCCTTATGTGGCTGATCGGTAAGTTGTGACTAATAACACTTAGTAAACATCAGAAAGATGTTTCATATGTTAAAGACACTATACATATGTAAGCCATTACTGAAAGTACTTCCTCAGTGAAATAACCCTTTAGATACACTATTGCTCTTGTGGATCAAACAGATTTAATTTCTTGGAGATTCTGCCAAAAGGCAACAGCATTGAATGGAATAGTATCCATTGACCAATGCATCTGGGGAAAACCACCTCAATCCAGAGATTTCCCAACTAAGGTTAATATTCGCTGGCCATCCATTTTCTGAAGAAGCGTCCAGACCCAAAATGTCAGCTTTTCTGCTCCTCTGACGCTGCTTGGCCTGCTGTGTTCATCCAGCTCTACACCTTGTTATCTGCCAAGTATCTGACCCTTCTTCTGCCTCCTTGTGCTTTGTGCTTCACCCTGTGCATTTCTCTCTGGATCCCTGTCTCCCTCAGCTTGGGGGAGCTGGTGGAGAATATCTTTGCACTGATACCTTGGCAGCAAGGTGCCATTTGGCATGATGCAGAGGATTAATTAGATCCTACTGACTTACCTGAAACCTGTCTATATTGATATATCATTAATAAAAACTTAACATGTATATTGATGTCCATATAAACTCTGGTCAACATTTCAAGTCCGTAACAAAATTAAACACAGTCAAGTCGCTTAATACTAATCACGTAAAGTATTCTCCACTTTAACTTCCCAACATCATCACAGTGGTCAGATTTGGAATATCTTCGTCGGTTATATATTGAAGCTTTACAGCTTGCTGCCAAGGACCCTGTGGTAAATTGTGCTCATACCATGCTGTGAAAGAAAATACTGAAAGATGTAGCAGCCAGAGACAAAAGTGGATGGGTGGACTTTCAACCTATGGTGCTGTTGCTTTGCTGTGATGTTGCAATGTCATTCTGAGGTCACGGTGTCCAGTTGAAATGGATAAACTAAAGTAAACAGCAGAATTCACAAGAGACACCCTTTGAAATACCTTACCCAAATTACAATGCACACAGATTTCAAACAATTCATAGACTGACTTACAGGTAAATTGCTGCAGCAGCAAACAAAATCTTTTAATAGATATAGCACAATTCTTGTTGCTAAACAGCAGCTGGTGTCAGGTGTCAGAAAAAACAATGAGGCAAAGTTAGATAGTTTATAAAAATTTATCAGACTAAATAGTTATTTTAATGTTATTTCAAAAAGACTACAGAAATTTTGACATGAAAAAGACAAAGCATTTTTGTTTCCATTCCATTCCTAATTAAAACTAAGAGGAATACTTCTGTTTAAATAATGGTTAGCTGAAGGTATATTAATCTCATTGAGCAGTCATCCTTTTTGACATAGCACAGAAAAGACCATCCAGGGACTGTGGTCTCCAAAGCTTATAAAAAAGTGTTACTGGGAGAGGGGCAAAATGTTAGCAACACTGTGCCTTTTTATCAACCTCTTCAGATTCATCTGTTAGTTTAATATTATCTGCATCAGTATTCTCAGATAGATGGATGAAGTCACTGTCCAGAATATTCTTCACTAAAAACCGTGTTGCTTCATCAATGTTTATGTTCTCCTGCAAACATTGGGAAAAATAAATATTAAGTCATTACAAGTAAACATTGTAATATTATGAAAATGTAAAAAAGATCAAAGAAAAACTTGTGTTTAAATGGCACCTTGCATAACTTCAGGATTCAAAGCTCTCCACAGTTTATGAAGTAGTTTAAAGTATAGACATTATTACAGCACATGAAAAGAAACAGCCAATTTGCACATAGCATGATTCCTTAAACAGCAATGCAATAATGCCCAGATAAACCCAGTGTTATTAAAAGTGATGTTGCTTGACGGTTGACCAAGCTACTGCGGAGAACTCACTGACTCACCCAGAGACAAGAGTATGGGCCATCAAATACAACAGATAGTTAATGAGAATTCTTCCCCTTGATTTTATTCCTCTGTCCATCCTTTTAATACCATTGCGCTGTCTACATCCATAAACCCCAGCAACAACAACTTAATAAGGTGCCCAATTTGATGAATTAGGCATTGCCTCCTAAAAATGGATCAAACTAGGTCCTCCTTATATCATTGTTATAACCATATTTATTTCTATTTGCACTATCAGAACATCAATTTGAATGTTTCATGCAATAAAATACGTAGCCTTCAGTTTTGTCCTTTGATTTTTTTTTAGCTGCTAGTCTTATTTTGCCCACAAAAATGAAAAGAATTCTGGGAAGGCAGCCCTATTTCACCAAGCACTGTTTGAAGTAATGCAAGCCAAGGTAATAGCAACCTGTCCAAATAATTTAACTTGCAGGATCCCACAAACAGGCATGGCCCTCTTGGTACACATGGCTTGATGACCCACACTTTTATGTCTGGGCCAGAAAATTAGTTCTCCCCAGTGGCTTGGCCAACTGTTAAACAATATCACTTAACATAACCTCCCTGGTTATCACTGTATCTTTCTGACAAGCTCGCATTATATCTTTCTTTATACTCCATATTAGCACAAAGTTACTATTCGGGGCCTTTTTTACTACTCCCCCAAGTGACTTCTCATCTCTACCCAAACCACTGTACCATTCTGGTTTCTTGAACTTAGGTCATCTCTCTCTTTTGCACTAATATGATCATCTACAAATAATTTTAATTAGTTTCCTGTCTTTCCTGAATGCCATGTATCTTTTAATATTCAAGACTCAATCCATGCCATGTTTCTGAAATCAGATGGCACTTATTTATTTATAATTGTACAATCAGAAAATTCATTTGTATTGAATGCTACATGCAATCACATGGCTAGCCTTCAGTTTGGTCCTTTAATTATTTTTGTAATCGGTAGCCTTATCTTTTGTTTTACTCTTAGATATATGTAGTCTCCATTCCTCCTATCACAGTTTGATTCTAATTGCCCTATTAATACCCTTTTCCATGTCTGGTCTCTACTCTTTGATTTGCAATATCATCTCCAATTTGAATCCTTTTCCCCAGAAGTTAGTTTAATACACTCTCTACGTTCCTAGTAATGGGGCTCACTTGCCTCAGCACAATTCAGGCATAGACCACTCCAACAATATAGCCTTCATTTTCCCCAGTACCCCATAAACTTGAATCCACTTCTTCTGCACCAGTCTTTGAATCACATATTCATTCTCTACCTTAATGACCTGTACCAATTTGCATGTGGCTGAGGCAATAATCCAGAAATTGTTGCCTTTGAGTTTTATTTTAATTTGGTGCCTTGTTCCTGTAGGGACTCTGCAGAACCTCTTTCCTTGCCCTGCCAATTTCCTGGATGTCTACATGGATCTTGATTACAGGACCCTCCATCTTCCACTGTAAATTCCTCTCAACCCTGAGCAGATCTCCTGAGCTCTGGCACCAAGTAGGCAACAAGGCCTTCTGGATTCTCACACTTTTCACAGAGTACAGTGTCAGCCCCCTCACTATACTGTCCCCTACTACCATACCATTCCTTTTCACCAGTTCCACCTGAATGCCTTGGTCAGTTGGCACATCCACTGCAACTCTCACTCTCATTCAAAAAGGCCTGCATGCACCAGAAACCTCCTAAGCAATGCAAAGGCTTAGGCTCCTACTCTTTTGCTAACTGGGTCCCATTACTTGCCTCACTCATTGTCACATCCTCCTCTACCTGTCCAGCGACTAAATCATCAGTCACCCCTATTCTACAAGGTATGACTAGGTCCTGGAATGTGCCCAGGTAACTTCCCGCCTTCCCTGATATGTCAGTGACTCTAGTTCGGCCTCCAACTCACCAGGTCTGAGCTGTAGCTGATTGAGCCACAACACTTACTGCAAGCAAGATTGTCCTAGATCACACCAGCATCCAGGAGGTCCCACATTCTACAACTGCAATACACCACCTCCCAAACAACTTCAATGATCCATAATTAAGTAATTGGTTACATTATTGATTCATTATTAAATAAATATATGTCTCTTTTCACTACCCTTCCTTCAAAAGTGTGAGTGCTGCGGGCCAATTGAAAACAAAACTAAGATCAAAAGACTTATGTTTTATCTAGGTACCAAGGCAGGAGGTGCAAAGGCAGGCAGATGGAGTTTACATACAGATTATTTATAATCCACTTGAATGGCAGAATAGGTTCAAAGATTTGATTCACTTTATCCCGCTCCTGGGATAAGACAGGCTGGCAGCTTGCCTGTCACACACCTACTATTCCACCCTAGCACCTCAAACACACACACCCATAACACACACATCCAGCACAAAGAACATTATTAAAAGACCCTACATGGTTTGAAAGAGTCAACTGCTGTTAATCTCTCGCCTTCTTTTGGAAAATTCACATGTTTAGGAAGAAATTGTGAAACTCCACTTAGAAAGATAATTTACTCTTCCCTTTTTATAAATCCATTCTTTATTTACCCTGATCATTGCCAAACCCACAGCCTGGACAGCACTCAAGTGCTCTTTCCCAATCCGGTTTCACATACTTGACTCTCATATTACACTCTCCTGAGACCTAAAACATTGTGACATGGCACTCACTGCTGGTAACTCCCTTCAACACTTTCCCTCTCCTCTTCTTTCTAACATTATTTAGAAAACATTTAGTCCCACTCTCTGAAACTCCTTTTTTGGGCCTTCACAAACTTATTACTTTGCCAAAATTTTCTTTCGTCCTCTGAATCATTCCCCCAAAAAACTAAGCAAGAACTCACCTCTCTGAATCACTAATCTCTACCAAAACTCAGCTTTCAGTCATTGCTTCAAATCTTTCCTCGCAATATTTTGTTCCTAGTTATCCCTCCAAATCACTCCCCAGTCGCAGAGATCAATCACTCCTCTGAATCACTACCCTCGTAAGTGGGGAGGTGATTGGGTAGTGGTAATGTCACTGGACTAAAACGCCAGGTGAACATTCTGGGGGTGTGGGTTTGAATCTTTACATGACAGGTGATGAAATTAGACTTCAAAAAAATTACTGAATTCAATAAAAAGAACTGGTTTAATGTTGACCATGTAACCATTGTCAACTGTTGCAAACACACATCTGATTCCTTTTGGTGAGAAAACCTGCTGTCCTGACCTGGTCTGGCTTACATGTGACTCCAGACCCACATCAATGTGGTTAACTCTTCACTACCCCCTGGGCAATTAGGGATGGATGATAAATGTCAGCAACACCCACACACCATGAATTATTATTTTAAAAATCTATAGCTTACTGCCTATTCATAATGGAAACGAATGAGGGCATTACTTGCAAACATTTTTGTTTTATTAAAAAGGCGCGAAATAATTGCAACTGCATTTTTTCTAACATAATAAGTAATTCCACAGTTCTAATAGGACGAGGACATTGAGGCCTATTAATGAACTAGAGACAAACAGGGGTGCTGCAGAGAAACCAGCAAAGAATGAAAAAAGAAATAATAAAGAAAGAGAAATTAGAATGAGAGAATTATAAAACAGACAGTGAAAACCTCCACTTAAGTACATAGAACAGAACAAAACATGACCATGGCCCTCAGCCAACCATGTCTGCACTGACCAAAATGCTATTATGAACTAATCCATGGTCCGTATCCCTCTATTCCTTGCCTTTTCATGTGTCTGTCTAATTGTCTCTTAAACATTGCTATTGCACCTCCTTCTACCACCTCTTAGAATCACAGAATCCCTAACGTATGGAAGCAGGCCCTCAAATAGCATCCCATCAAGACCTGGATACTAAGGAACAAACCACCTAACCTGCACATCTTTGGACTGTGGGAGGAACCTGGACCACCAGGAGGAAACCCACACAGACACGGGGAGAATGTGCAAACTCCACACAGGACAGTTGCCTGAGGTTGGAATAGAACCCAAGGCGCTCAGCCATTGTGCCATCCTCTATATAAAAAGAGCAAGGAGTAGCTAAAGTAAGCATTGGTTCCTTCCAGGAAGACTCTGGGAAATAATAACAGAAAACAAAAAAAGGGAAATAAGTTTGGATAAGTATTTTGTATCAGTTTTTACAGGAAAAGATACAAAAAGAATCCTAAGAATAGCAGAAAGTTTTTAGGGGTATGTACTGGGAAAACTGAAAGGCTGACAGACTGACAAATCCCCTAGATCCAATGTTCTGCATCCTAGGGTCTTAAGAGGTCTGGAAAAGGGATTGGAAAGCTACAAACGTAACACCACTGTCCAAGGAAAGGATGAAGACTGAAAGCAGGAAACTCTAGGCCAGTTAGTCTAACATCCGTAAGTGGGAAAATGCAAAAGTTTATTAATAAGGATGTAGCAACAGGACACGTAGAAAATCACAATGGAATCTGGCAGAGTCAACAATTTTGTGAAAGGGAAATAGCGCTTAACAAAATTAGAGTTATTTGAGGACACATCAAGCAGGGTGGATAAAGGGGAACCTATTGGGTACTGGTGAATGTTAGGGTCTTAAGGGTTAAGTTTTTAAAATAAAGTCTAGTTTTTCCACTAATTTAGCAATTAACTAAACATAACATTATAAAGTTACATTGCAGCCTTAAATAAGAGCATATACGCATCAAGGGAAGTTGTTAATTAATGGCTGATTTAATTTATTTTTTGAAGCTTGAGTCCAATCGAAATAGAAACAACCCTCAGTGCTGCCTTGTCAGGTGAGAGGTAAATACTGAGAGGATGTTTCCTCTCATAGTGAATCTAAGCAGTGTTTAAAATAGGGGGTCTTGCAACTAAGGCAGCGATGGGGAGGCATTTCTTCTTTCTGATCATTGTTACACTGTGGAATTCTCTGCATAAGACAGCAATGGAGGCTACTTCATTGGACACATTCTAGGCCACATTAGAAAGATTTTTGATCAACAAGAGTCAGGGGTTATGGGGAAAGGCAGGAAAGAGGAATTAGGGCCACAATCAGATCAAGAGGTTGAAAAGCCTACTCCTGCTTTCTACTTCTTATGATCTTTGAAAGATTGTAAATGTCAAGTACATCCAGAACAGTTTTCTGAAACAATACAGATATTTTTAATACAAACTGTTCAGATACGTCATGATGTTCATCTGGAGCAGGTGGGACTTGACCCAGGCCTCTTGGACCAGAGGTAGGGACACTACTATTACTACACCACTAGAAACAGTATATCCTAGGACTAACAAAGGAGGGAAGCCACATTATATTTATCAATGAGCCAGATTTAGTTAATAGTCTTAGATGTGCTTTAAGAGTGATCGCAATCTAATTGAGTTCAACATAGAGTTTGAAAGGGAGAGAAGCGAAACATTTACAAAAATTTTAGGTTTAGGAGAGGCTAACTTCCATGGAATGAGACAGAAATTGGCACAGCAAACTGGGCAAGTCAGTTAGAGGATAAAAAAAAATTAGTGGAAGGTATTCAAAAAACAAAGCTGGTGTGTCAAAGAACCCATTACATCCATTAAGAGCAAGAATCATAGAATCCCTACAGTGTGGAAGCAGGCCCTTAGGCCCATCAAGTTCACGCCAAACCTCTGAAGAGCATCCAACCTAGACACATTCCCCCACCCTATTCCTGCAATCCTGTATTTCCATGGCTAATCCACCTAACCTACACATCCTGGATAGCTTGGGCAATTTATCATGGCCAATCCACCTAACCTGCACATCTTTGGACAAGAGTTATATTTGCCAAAAAAACACATGGATAAAAGAGGTAAAAGACAACATAAAGCTGAAAATAAAAGCATACAACGGTACAATAAAAAAATACAGGTGGATGGGAAAGATATAAACAGCAAAGGCTGACAAAGCAAGTTGCAAGAACTGCAAAAATTATGAAAAGAACTTTAGAATTAAATCAAAATTAACACAAAAAAATACAATTACATTTGGACAAAGAACATAGTCAGGAGCTACGTGGTTCCTTGAAAACTAATAACGGTGATGTTGTCAATGAAAATAAGGAAATAGCTGAATAATTACCTTGTGTCAGTATTTACAGTAGAGGAAGAGGTTAGGATGGCAGATTTCCCAAGGGCATTGTTATTGAATCAAGGACAGGGACTCCAAGTTAACATAAGCAAGCTACAGTAACAGAAAAATTATATTGCAGATGCCTTAACTACAAGCTTCCAAATTCTTCCAATTCAGGAAAGGCTTCTTCAGATTGAAATATTCTGTAAACCACTCCACTATTTGAGAAAAGAATGGAATTATAAGTTAGTTTAACGTGAGTTGTTTGAAATTTGCTAGGTTCCATGAATAAAAGGATGACTGATCACTTTAAAAAACTTATGATGATCTGAGAGCCAGAATGGATTTGTAGAAGGTAGATCACATCTGACTAATTCAAATTATTTTGAAGAGGTGTCTAAATTTCTGGATAGGATTGTCTACAGAATGGGCCTGGGCAAGCATTTGAAAATTTCCCTCATGAGGAATGGGTTGGTTATGAAGCTGATGGAACTGAAGGCAAATTACTGACTCAGTTAAGTAGAGACTGAATAGCAGGAAGCATGGGAGTAGGGATTGTGGGCAGGTAAACTAATTGGTATCTTGTAAGGTTCTTGAGTAGATTTGTAGCCGGGGTTGTGTATGCTGTGGTTGGTTCACTCGCCAAGCTTGTTCGTTAGTTTCCAGCAGGAAAACACAACAATGCTTCATTGGAGGTTGCACTGATGACGTTACCCAGCAGGGTACTGAAACATCTGCAAACTAATGAACCAGCTCGGTGAGCGAACCAACCACAACGTGGTATCTTGCAAGGATCTACACTGGGCCCTTATCACGATACTTGTTAATGATTTAAATGATCAAATAGAAAGTCATATTTAAATTTGTGAATCACACAAAGTTGGATGTTATTGTAAGGAGTGTAGAGGTAGACATAACATTACAAAAGGTTATTAATTGATAAGATTGGACAAAATTGTGGAAGTTGGATTTCAACATAGACAAATGTGACTTTAATCACTTCAGAACATAAAAAGTAAGAACAGTTACTTTTTACATTAAACTTCTGAGATACTTCTTCTAATTCTGAACTCCTTTGTATTCCAATTTTATTTGCACCACCATGGAAAGCCATGCCTTCAGTTGGTTAACCCCCAAGCTCTGCAACATCACCCCCCACAGCTCCCTGTCTCTGCCTCGCTTTCCTTCTTTAAGGCATTCTTTACAATCTTCCTTTTTGACCAAGCTTTTAGTCATCTGACCCAATATCTCAGCTTCGGTGAAGTACTTTAAGATGATTTGTTACATTAAAAGAAGTGTTATACAAGTTGCTGTTGTTCAAGAATTAAAAAGGAGGTCCAGGTACAATGTTAAACTGATTCAGAAGCTAATCAAAGGCTATTGGAATGCTGGCCTTTATGAATAGAATACCTAGGATCAGAAGTTGTGCTTCAGTCACACAATGCTCTGATTAGACCTCATCTGCAGAACTGCAGACAAATCTGAGCACTAAACCTAGGTTGGCAATATTAGCCTTGGAGGGAGTGCAATGCAGATTTGCTAGCATGATGCAAGGGTTAATCAAACTAGGATTGCAGTCCCTTGAATTTAGAAATTTAAGAATTGACTTGATTGAAGTTTTCAAGATATTAAGGGGAATACAGGGTCATGAACAATAAACTTTGCAAGAAGATTATATTTGAAATGCCTCTTTAATCCAAAATGAAATAGGTAGTTGGAGAGGGAGTTGTTGGATTCTAGGCAAATCCCTTATATGTCCCTGTGACCTAGATTTGCTGTGCTATGAGGAAGAGACAAGTAGAAGCTGATTGAGGTACCAAGTTATCACCAGCTTTCTGCTGCAGCTGGGGAAGAACAGAGAACACACACAAAGACATACATCTCCTGGTGAAGACACTAGGAGAGCTCTTCAGAGACTAAGAGTTCAGACAGACTGTGAAATTGAGTTGTGAGTTACAGTGGGTTTTCCAACTGAACAAGAGATCACAGAGCATTATGGTGCCGAAGGAGGCCATTTGGCCCATTGTGTCAGCACTGACAGGCAACAGGGGCTGCAAAACTGAAGGGAGCTGATGTTATAGCAGAACAGCCAAGACAGTCCCGAAGAACTGATTCTAGGAGCAAGTGTTTCCTGCAAATGAAAAATTGATGTGTAATTTTTGGTGCAAGGCTTCTGCATATATGAAACCCAGGGGCAGATTAAGCTGTGGTCATATGGAACTCCTGACCTAACCCTACTTGAATAAAAGAATGGAATTGTCACCTGGTAGTGCTTAGTAAAGATGACAGGGGGCCTGCCTTCTAGCTGAAGAGCTGGTGAGAACCCTATGTCACCTTTTTACGGCAAGTGCCACCATTGCCCAGCTAAATGATACACTTAATGCGGCAGGTCTTCCCGGGGATCAAAGACCCCTAGGGACTGAAGTCCTGACAACCATGAGCTTCCAATTATTCATATGCTGGTAGCTCTTCATTGATGATCAGCACCACCAGGAAGACAATGATCGCTGCTGGTACTTCAATCAATCAGATTGAAGGGCATAACTCTGTTCTTAAATGATTAGATCATGTATTTTTGGTTTATTCTTCAAAATATTGTCTTTGGGTCCTTTACAACCACTTTGGAGAAAGAGACAGGTTCTCAATTTAACTGAAAAACACCACCTCCAATAGTACTAGGTGAATGCTGCATTTCATAGGGAGTGCTAAGTCTCTTGGTATAACCCGCGACCTTCCATTTCAGAGGTGAAGAGTGCTACCACTGAGCTACTGTTAGCAAGCAACAATGTATTATAATTGTGGGTTGGCTAGAGAACTATCTTGCTGCAGTGCCCCAAGCAGATGGCTAAATTGTCACTAACCTTAGCTGAGGTTTCATACCATGCTATGAAACCATTGTCCTTGCAGTAGCGATCCATCGTTATGTGGCTGTTGTCCAAACCGTCCCATTGCTGATCACATTTGTTTGCCAAGAGCACAGCAGGGATTGGCTTCCCATTGGGCAGCTTCACTTTACTGTCCAAGTCACTCTTCCACTTCAGAACTGCATCAAATGTTGAGCGTCTGGATACATCGAAGACTACAAAAGCTCCAACAGCTTCTTTATAATACACTCTCGTCATGTTGCCGAATCGTTCTTGACCTGCAGTAGCCAAAAATTACCCCAAAGTGAAAGCAATCAATTTCATAAATAATGACAGTTTCACTTTTTTCCTTTAAAGCCAAAAACATGCAGCACGGAAACAGGCTGGGTCCACATTTATGACCCATGTGACTCTCCTCCCAAGACAACAAGGTGCAGGGCTGGATGAACACAGCAGGCCAAGCAGCATCATAGGAGCAGAGAGGTTTTTCAAGGACCGTAACTTCCCCTCCTCGGTGTTCGAGAACGCCCTCAACCGTGTCTCCCACATCTCCCGCACCTCATCCCTCACACCCCGTCCACGCAATAAAAACCAAAAAAGAATCCCCCTCGTCCTCACGTACCACCCCACCAACCTCCGGATCCAACGCATCATCCTCCGACACTTCCGCCATCTGCAATCCGACCCCACCACCAAAGACATCTTTCCCTCCCCACCTTTATCTGCTTTCCGGAGGGACAACTCTCTCCGTGACTCCCTTGTCCGCTGCACACTCCCCTCCAGCTCCACCACACCCGGCACTTTTCCCTGCAACCGCAGGAAGTGCTACACCTGCCCCCATACCTCCTCCCTCACCCCCATCCCAGGCCCCAAGAAGACTTTCCACATCAAGCAGATGTTCACCTGCACATCTGCCAATGTGGTATACTGCATCCGCTGTACCCGGTGTGGCTTCCTCTACATCGGGGAAACCAAGCGGAGACTCGGGGACCGCTTTGCAGAACACCTACGCTCGGTTCGCAACAAACAACTGCACCTCCCAGTCGCGAACCATTTCAACTCCCCCTCCCATTCCTCAGACGACATGTCCATCCTGGGCCTTCTGCAGTGCCACAACGATGCCACCCGAAGGTTGCAGGAACAGCAACTCATATTCCGCTTGGGAACCCTGCAGCCCAATGGTATCAATGTGGATTTCACAAGCTTCAAAATCTCCCCTCCCCCTACCGCATCCCAAAACCAGTCCAGCTCGTCCCTGCCTCCCTAACCTGTTCTTCCTCCCACCTATCCCCTCCTCCCACCTCAAGCCGCACCTCCATCTCCTACCGACCAACCTCATCCCGCCCCCTTGACCTGTCCGTCCTCCCTGGACTGACCTATCCCCTTCCTAACTCCCTACCTACACTCACCTTTCCTGGCCCCATCCCCGCCTCTTCAACCTGTTTGTTTCCTCTCCATCTATCCTCTCCTCTATCCCTCTTCTATCCGCCTCCCACTCTCTCCCTATTTATTTCAAAACCCCCTTCCCCTCTCCCTTTTCTGATGAAGGGTCTAGGCCCGAAACGTCAGCCTCTCTGCTCCTATGATGCTGCTTGGCCAAGCCTCTCTGCTCCTATGATGCTGCTTGGCCTGCTGTGTTCATCCAGCCCTGCACCTTGTTGTCTCGGATTCTCCAGCATCTGCAGTTCCTACTATCTCTGACTCTCCTCCCAACTTGGTTTCGCTTCTTTTAACATCCCCCTCATTTACGTATTTAGCTCCTTTTTAAATGCATCTATATCAGTATATTTAGGATGTGAATAACACTGGCTGGGTGCCATTAGTCCTTCCTAGATGTCCTGAGAAGGTGATAATGTATCTTGAATTGTTCGCTATTGTGACAGCTGAAATGCTAAAAGTCATATTTCCTTAC